CCCTCCTGTCTGGTTGCCGCTTGGTCATGTTGTCCGGTTGTGCTTTGCTGGGATCTCCTCTTGCTTGTCTGTGTCTCTGGTGGACCTTGCGCGCTTCCTATGCTTCCTCTGTTTGTTTCATTCTCCCCTGCTCTCACTCAGGCACAATGGATGGAGATTTGTTTGACTATACGTACTTTGGTTTCTGGATGGTTTTTGGTTGGTGGCTATCTACACTGAATGGAAAGACACTGACACAGCACTCTTGTGACCCACTAAGGTGACCCAGGACAGCCGTATCGCCAGTGCCCGTAAAGGCCGCCTACTTCTTCTGCCTCTCGTGCTGGCAAGACTTCTTTTCTCTGAGGGGCTGCTTTGCTAATTTGCCTGAATTCGTTTGTTCTCTTCGGTTCCCCTGGTATGTCCTTTGTCTGGGTATTCTTTATCGGTAGCTGAATCCAACTGAAGGGGGCGGTAGCTAGCCGGTTGATGCCATGGACCAGCCTGTGCTGCAGCGAGCTTCACCGGTGCATTCCGGTGTTCCTCCCTGTAGGACAGCCTGGGGCGCCCGCATGCAGCACAAGACTGCCAACATGGTTCGTCGCTGGACAGAAAGATGTGGTAACTCTGCTGCCTGTTTACTCTCTGGGTGAGTGGCAATACAGCAGTAGTTTTGCTACAATGCTTGCCGGTACGTACTGCAACGCACTGCGGGTCCTTCAGGGACGATGACATCCTGAAATGTCCTGAACAGTTCTGTAGTTTGTATTCCTTGCGAACCTGCTTTTCGAACGCTACACTGCCTACGACAATACGTATGGTGGCACTAGCAATGACAGTTTTACGGATACAAGCGTTTTTTGCATGTTGCTCAGGTTTGCGAATGCTACCAAGTAAGTCGCTGGCTGGGATCAATACAATGGATGAGCATCCTCCCCTATGAAACTAGGGGCACGCCCTCCTTTTTTGAGTTTGTCGGCGATGGCATGTTTGGGAGCCTATCCCTGGCCTACAATGCTTCCTATTTGTCATCACTGGCCCCCCGTTTGAGGGGGGATCTGATTTCATTCCACCATGATTTGAGATCGCGGCTGACAGTCAAGAGGATGATTATTACGTCGATGAAGGCCCATGACGAGCTGATCTGAGAGGACTCTGAGAGAAGATTTCATCGTTGCCCGGCTTTCCTGTATAGCTTGGCTTATGCTAGGGTTTACTCCCGAGCTAAGGTCTTCATGTCCGCCTGTACAGCTGCGATCCATAATTCGTTTTGCATGGTTTGGATAGTGAGGCAGTGGTCATACCACTGCGTCCAATGGCAAATCGATTTTGTGGGTGTTTTTGTTTGGGCTCCGGCCCCGTTTTGTGGGTTTTGTTTTGTTTTTCTGCTGTTGCTTCGCTGTTTCCGCTGGCGAAACGCAAGTCTGGCTGGGGGATTTGCGGGTCGTCTTTTTTGGTTTCGTGATTTCTGGTTTTGTTGCTTAATTGATTTGCCAACTTCAAGGACCCGGTGTCCTGGTAGTGTATTTTCAGCTTACACTCATGTAAGGACCGAGCCTTAGCGCGACATCGGCCACACTTGAGGGAAAAAAAAATCTTGACGATTCCGAAAAGCGATCCACTGTTTTTTTCCGTCCAACGCCTTCATGGCTTCCGCCAAGTCGTTCAACATGTTTTGGTGCATGTTGCAAATTGGAATTAATTGATTAATTAAGTCGTGCGTAGGCCGCCTGCGGTGGAATGGCCTCAAAAGTAAACTGGTGGAGGACCGCTACATAGTCCTGTGTACTGTCACATTTCATCACCAGATCGCAAAACGAAACAAAGCAACCAAAACACCAAAAACCACCAGACAAAAAAACAGAAACACAAAAACACACAAAACCAAAACCAAACAAACCAAAAAACAACAAACACAACAGAGCAGTGATGTGACAGGTTCCAGTTTATGGGTGAAAAGGGTAAATTCAGGCAAGAGGTGATAGCTTAGTATCATCTCAGTTCATGCATGATGACAGCTTGTGTGCCAGGGTAATAATCCGAAAAGCGATCCACTGAGAATGCTTTCAGGTAAACTTCAAATCATGGCTTCCAAACGTGATATCACGGTTGCCACTCACCGAGAACCGGCACCGGCGCCGCATTGACCCACGTCATAGGTGCTACCGGTCAACATAAGGTGCTCATAGTTGGCCAGTCTGGCTTTTTTTTTTGGACGGCGCCAATTGGCTTTCGCTTGGTCACCACACTGAGGCTTACCTGCGGACCAGCGGGGAATCGAATCACCACCGGTAGTCTATCCGCCACGTCAAGAACGTCGCCCTACCAACTACTCCACAGGGACGCCTCATAGTTGGCCAGTCTGGCAAAGATTCTTGAGATTTAGCCGTTGTATGCCAAATTGGTGGACAGACGCAAGTGGTGGTTCGATTCGCCGCTGGTCCGCGAGTAAAACTCAAGACCGTAGACCAGCCAAAAGGCCAATCGAGAAGCACTTCTTCCAAAAGTGATCCACCAATTTGGCATACAACTTTTTTTGTCCGAGCCCGTTGGTTTCCCTTGATTTAAAGGTCGACGGGTGCCAGGATTGGACCGCCAAGCCATTTTTTAAAAACCCTCTTGAAAACCAGCGCGATCAAAGTTACCCAAAGCGACGGCGAGAGCATGGAAATTAGAACAAAAGCATCAGGGCAGGCTTTGAGGCAGGCCTCAAGGGCCTCAAGGCTTTGGAAATTGGAGAAAAAATGATATCACAAAGAAGGGACCCTTTTTTGATCCTCAATAGGAAAAAGCAGGCGCGGCGCCAGTTCAAGATTCCAGCGAGAGCATAGAAACAGGCACTTCGTGTGCGGATGCTCACAATGGTTTTGCGGATGAGATGGATCATATACATTACATTGTGTTGCATGTCGGGAATTTGATTGGCTGAACTGCATGGGAATCGTAGCAAAACGGGTTATGGAAGTATAAATTCCCGTTGATACGGTGAACATGTGCAGAACCCTGGATTTGCTGCTGAATGGTGGAATAACATCTGGGATGCCATGTTTTTCGTCGTTTTTGGATTTTGCATGGGTTTGGTGATGAACTTGAACTGGATTGGTTGTTTTCGAAAGACACTGGCTGCATGCTTCGCATTTGCAAGTGAATTTGGACGTTTTTGGTGCGCCTTCGTTTTCCTGGATGTGTGTGATCATATTTTTGTTTCACTCGTTTTTCAACAACCAATGGGATCGTTTTCTGAAAAACTCTGCGTTTTGCATTTTTCGGAAGCTGCATGTCTGTACAACAACTTTGTGGACAAAATGGATGTTTTTGGAATTTATCAGAACTTTGTGATGAGTTTGAAGTTGAGAAGGTGAATTCAACACATGTACAACTTAAATGGAATGGACGAGAATTCATTTTTGTTTTTCCCCTGCCATTGCCAAGACGACAAAAGAGACGCAACACAGTGCATGTTGCATGACAAACAGACACGTTGCTTTGCTTCGTTTTCCTGTGTGGAAAAGAATTGAGTGCTTGTGCAGTGACAGCCGTTGTTTTGGGAAGTGTTTTGGTTCAAACACTCGACGTGGTGAGGCCGACCCAACAACGCGTCCGCAAGCGACTCGTGGTTGCAATTAGGTCGTGTTGGATTTTCGCACAAAAGCGACAAAGCAGGCCAAACTAATTAATGAGGGGGGCAAACCACCAACAAACGGAAAACGAACGGAACCAACCACACACAGGGAAGGCAGTGCCGACTTGACCAATCGAGGGACAAGAAGGCACAAACAAAGAATTGAAACAGAAACGAAGAAAGCGATGAAGTCAAAACCATCCAATCGATGAAATAGTTCACAGAGGATTGTCCATACGAAGAGGCCGAGGGCTCCCTAGCAGCAGGCAAACCAATATGCAGCTCAGATCAATTGCTCCGGGGGCACAGGCAAAAAACGTGATGAATATCTGGTGCAGTCCTGACCAATCCAGGGTCAGAAAGGCACCGACAATGAAAAAAGGTAAGACAAGTGAAACGTGGACGATAAAGATGAGTAGTAGTCGCAAATGGTCATGGTAAAGTAGAATTACGCATCTGTGGAACTCCCGGCAGGGGCTGCAGGTTTGCCCGGTGCATAGAGCCGTTTGTCTTCCGTGAGGAGCGTTTGCCACATGTGGTCTAGGACTAGGACAAAGATTGCAGGCGAATCAGTCTCAGCATTAGCAGCGGATTGCAGCAACTGAGGCTTCAAGGCTGCAAAATCGTCAATATCACGCTGAGTTGGCTTCTTTTTGAATGGCCGACTCGGAAAGTTAAGCTTTCTCCATTGTTGTTGGATGGCCGCATTGGACAACCAGACGGGGGGCTTATAGGGAAGAAAATGCGTTCTGCGAGCACAGCAAGATCTACTGCCAGATGCGCAAACATATGGCGGCGCTCTACCTTCTTGTACTGTGCCAGAGCAAATTCATATAAGCTATCCATCAGGTGCCATCCCCAAAGTAGGCTATCGGCTATAGTCGGTTGGCCACTTAGGGGGGCAGACTCTAGCATCCTGCCGCCACCGTTCAGGCGTGATGCCCCCTTCAGAGGGTGTGATGAACTCAAGGACCACGCGTACTGGTCCCATTGGGACAAAGGCAAGAATGACCGCTGGTTGTAAAAGGTTACGACCGTACCCTTCAATGATTGAATTGAGGCTCCCTCGCTCAGCCCATTCTTCATCAATACCAAGGTCAATGCCAGGGGCTTTGTTGTCTGCAAAGCGGACCGCCCGAAGGCACCCAGCTGTACGCCACACTTACTCCAGACCAGGTGCGCGAGATGTCTTGCATCTCCAAGCCTGCAACATGGCAGTCGACCAAGAGGTGTCCTGACAGAGATCTGGCTAGGGATGTTCACAAGATTACTCTGGAGGAGTGTGAGAGGGGGGCCCCTTTACGCTGCGGGAGTTGCCAGAGACTGCAATCCTCACACGGAGATTTGGGCTCAAGCAGTCGAGCACTGTGTCAGATGGCAGCCGCACCTTCAAGACAAGGCCAATAGATTCCATTGATGATTTCTTGGAGTCACTGGTCAATTCAACAAATGCGGCGGATGAGTCCATCCAACCCATGGGCATAGACATGATCCTGGCTGCACTTGCTATGCGCATCAGATGTTGGGGCCCAGAGGAACTCAAAGGAAAGACTATTGACCTGAGAAAGGCCAACAAGAACTTGCCCTTGTCTGGCAGTGCGCTGAACGATGCGCATATTTGCGTGGTGAACACAATGGAGCCACGAGCCTTCCAGGGCCAGGTCCTGCCCTTTGGTGCTCGGGCGGCAGTCATGGGATTTTGCAGAGTGTCTCACGCTCTCTGGCTCATAGGTGTGTTCGTCTTCAAGATGTTTTCTTTGATGATTTCTATCTTGTGTCATCATCTGCTGAAGCCAGACACATCGACTTGGCTCAACAGTTGCTCTTCAGGCTTGTTGGCTGGGAGGTTTCCACTGAAAAGGAGGCTGACTTGGGCCAATAGCAAGGATACTTGGTGTCTAAATTGATTTGGCCAAGTCCCTGCTTGGCAAGTATACCGTTTGCAATGTGGAGTCCAGGGCCAAAGAGCTTGTAACGAGCATTGACAACATCCTTGCTAAGCAGTCGGCTGCAGAGATGCGCGTGCTACGTGGGAAATTAGTCTTTGCAGAATCCCAGATATTTGGTCGAGTTGCGGGCTTGCACATGCAGCAGCTGTCTAGATGCAGTGGGTGATAGCCACAGAGAGTTTCCATTTTCTCAAGGAGCGCATTGTGCTGGGTGGCCCCAGGACAATCCTGGCAGAGACAGGACGGGTTTTTCACCTGTACACCCGACGCTTGTTACGAAGATGGAAGTGAAGGCTTCGGAGGCGTGCTGTACGATGGTTTTGGCAACCTCATGTCATTCTTTTGAACTCGTGTCGAATTTGACCAAGTTGCCCTCCTCAATCCAAATGGAAAGAAGACCATCATCTTTGAGCTAGAAGCCTTGGCAGTGTTTGTGGCTTGCTTGACATTGCTCCCGACGGAGGGAATCTTCCAAAACGATCGAGTTGTCATATTTGTGGACAACGAAGCTGTTCTTGCCCGCCTCGTGTCTGGCCGTGGTGGTGGAGAAATTGGCAACTTGATTTTTAGTGGTGTAATGAACTGGGAGTGTGAAGCGAATGTGCTGGCGTGGTACGAGAGGGTGCCCAGTTCGGCCAACATAGCAGATGCCCCATCTCGTGGTGATGTTTCTGGTTTAGACCCCTCGCTAGCGATAGATGTACTGCAATCTCTTTTGGAGGTGTGTCCCTCTGATGTGAAAGGGGAGGTGCAGAGCGACGAATCCTCCAGTGTGAAAAAGTAGCGATGTGCTGCATTGCCATTTGATCAATTGAGTTGCAAGCATCGTGGATAACAAGTATAGAAAAATACATAATAATTTGGGGGCCTCTGATCAACTAATGAACACCTTTCTTTTTGGGCCACACCGGCCACACGCATAAGGTTCAGCGCAGTTCGAGACTAGGGTTCCACATGAGTGTGGCATATCCAAACCTATGTTTTCCGCACATTTGTGGCCTCTGAAGGACATGTTTTCACACAATCTGGCCTCCCTACTGGCATGTTTTTCACATGATTTTCACGTTCAGGCGCTGTGTTTTCCACAGATTTTGGTGCTCTGAAGACATTGTTTTCCATGCAATTCGGCCTGCCTATTCGCATGTCTTCCACATGGTTTTGTTGCGGTTGCGGTCTTCCGCACACCAGAATTCCCAGAGAAATGCGGAAGATTTTGAGGAAAACTTTTGCCAGAAACTTTTGCACTTTTGCGGAAACTTTTGTGGAAACTTTTGCGGAAACTCTTGCGGAAACTCTTGCGGAAACTTTTGCGGAAACTTTTGCGGAACCTCTAACTCTTGCGAAAACTTTTGCGGAAATTTTTGCGGATTTTTTTGCGGAAATTCTCGCGGAAACTGTTGCGGAAACTTTTGCGGAAACTCTTGCGGAAACTTTTGCGGAAACTTTTGCGGAAATTTGTGCGCAAATTTTGCGGAAACATTGTGGGAACATTGTGGAAACCGATAAAATTAATTAGTTGCTGATCATCAATCAACTCTTTATGCAACCATGTTTGGCCCCATCTCATGTCCCCATTAATTTTCCACAATTAAGAATTTGGTTTTCCACGATCAAAAACCTGATTTTCTATGAGTAGGCACGTTTTTTCCCACAATTTAAGGCTTAAGGGTTTTCCACAATGAAAAACGTGGTTTTGCAAAATGAAAAATTGGGTTTTATGTTTTCCACAATTAAGAGTTTGGTTTTCCACAGTCAAAATTGTGGAATATCAACGCTTAAGTGAATGGGGCAACGTATATATGAGAAACAAACGCAAACCTTGGAAACATTTGAAACTTAAAACGTGGCATGAGGGCCCTTTGGAATTATCTTTAAAATATATTTTAAAATAAAAACACCCCTTAAAATGTGGAAAAAAATGACCCCTTAAGGTGTGGAAACACGCGCTTTTAAACGTGGAAAATCTGCCTTGGAAGTGTGGAAAATGAACACTTGTAAGGTAGAAAAGGGATCCCTTAAAGAGCAGAAAAATGTGCTTTTGAACGTGGAAAATCCGCGCTGGAAGTGTGGAAAATGAAGCCTTAAAATGTGGAAAATGGACCCCTTAAAGTGTGGAAAAATGCACTTTTTGAACGTGGAAAATCGGTGTTGGAAGTGTGGAAAATGAAGCTTTGAAACGTGGAAAACGGACCCCTAAAGTGTAGAAAAAACAAATTTTCAAACTTGGAAAAAATAGTTGCCCAAGGGCCCCCCAATATATATGCACATGAATTTGGTTTGTTGCCAACAAGACAAAAACACGATAAAACACGTTTAAATTGTGAATCCATTTTTTCCAGATCTTGTTTCCATTGCATTGTTTGTTATAGGATGGTGCGGTGAACCAGTGTCAAATTTGGAATCAGGATTCATTTAACACAAACAAAAACGTGTTTGCACGTTGTCTGACTGTCTGCATTTCAATTTACTATCAGTTCATGATGTTCATGATGTTCATGATGTTCATGATGTTCATGGATATATGGTGACGGTATCCAGAGTGCTTGCAACAATGCCTTACAATCAGCCCAAATGCCAAAAACATGCATTCACGTTCATATTGCATCAATATAGTTGGTACAATTTTACATGTTCCAATTGTTTTGCATTGAAAACATCAACGCCATGTACTCCATGTGTTTACAGTTGGGAAAATATACAGACAACTCCTACCTTGGTTGATATCGGAGTCAGTGTCAACAGATTCGTCTTAATTTTGTGGATGCGCATGTTTACTTTGTGGAAAATCACGGAAATACCGGTTGCCATGATACCAATACAGATGAAAAATACAATGGTTGCTGTCAGAACAACAATTTGATCCACGCGTTTGCAAAGCCATGTCGTTCGAGTCCAAAATCAAACATTTGGAAGAAACAGTGTCTGCTGGAATTCATGAAGTGTACACAGGCCTAAATCGACCGGACTACGGTGTGCCTCCAAAACTAGGAGGCGATTCACCTGAGCAAATAAATTGGTTGGTAATATTGGTGATGATTGCTGTTTGTGTATCCATCGGTTTGGGAATATATTTTGACAACAAATGCCGTGGAACGATGATGGAAGGCCGTCCAAGGTTTTGGTCTATACTACTTTTGCTGGCAAGCTACTTGCTGTTGATTCCTGGATTGATCAATCCAGTCTTCAGCTTCAGCATTGTCATTAACATCATTGGTCACAGGAAGGTCGTGGAACCAGAAACTGGTCATCCAGTTTGCACGGAGACCACAAATGGTCTTGCTCATTTGCTTTGGAAAACTGGATCCAAAATTGGAGCATTTTTGGTCATTTTGTTCTCGATGGTCATACCAGCAATAGAGCTTGTCATGCTCATACTCGGCGAGGTTTTCCGGTTTGGTTCTGCCAAATGTGCAGAAATTTTTCGGTGGGTTATCATTTGGGTGCAGCATCGGTCGAAATGGGCCTCTCCCGACATGTTTGCCTACATCCTCTTGGTTGATCTTGTTCGTACGCTGGAAGTCGAATCGCTTATTCTCTCGAGGGCAAGGCCAGCAAACAAAATGTGGTACATCCATGTTTTTCTTTGTAGTCCCCAAGTATTCATAATTCATATATATAACGAAAAACTGTTGTTTTGGTCAAAACAAAGGGATGAACTTAAAGTAATGAAACAATTGTTGAGAGGAGCAAATAATTGAATTCGGAAACATAATCTTACAAACACAGACCCACAAAATTTTCTTGTTCACCAGGCTTGAAATTGGTTTTTCGTGCTTCAGCACCTTCGTGGTCACAGCCACGGTCTCGTCATTGGGCATTCCTTTCCCGCAGGTGGGGACAGTGGTAGCATTGCAGGACTTTTTGACATGGAAAATTTTATTCCAGAGTATGCTGCAGTATGCTAGTGGAGTTTAGAGTACAGTTGACAGTGTATGGCCACTCGTGTGCCACACCTCAATGCAACATTTGTCAGATGCGGGTGGTACGGGGTTTTGAAAGATTGGAATCAATTGCCACATTTGCTACTTTGAATCAATTGCTATGCTATTGCTATTCTTGTATATCTTGTGGAGGTGCAATTGGCAGAGGAGCGTCCCACGGCACCAATCCTACTACGTTTATTCGGTCGCAAAGGAATTGCCGCCATTGCAGCATTGTGACATGGGTGCAATGGGTTTTATTATGTTTTATTAGGTTTTAAACATGTTTTGTTTCTTCAAATTCAAATTGTAGATCTTGTTAGATTTTGTTATGTGGGTCTGTGTGGGCTTTGTTTTTTTGGGACCAGGTCCAAGTCCATCCAGGTCAACTATGCTCTTCCTGCCCGTTTTTCTGAAAGGTTTGTATTCTCCGTGTATGTCCTTTCACATTGAAACCAAGCAGCTCTTTCCACCTTACGGCCCTCTACCAGAGGCTGCGAAGCCAGCTATTGATATCTTGGATTTGAAGGACCTACTGAAGTCAGAAACAAGCATCGCCAGCTGCATTCAGGATTACATCGCCAGGCTTCCAGAATGGGAAGCAAACACATTTATTTCACTGGCCCTAATGGTATTCTGCGTTGTGGGCTTCACGTTGGTGGACATGATATTCTTGATGTTTGCAGCAATAGAGTTGGCGTTTGGGTCAGCTTTTCAGAATCCCTTGGCAACGTTGAATGCGAATCTTCGAGGTTATCTTGGACACAGTTGGATAGACATGGCAAGAATTCTTCGAAAACTCTCTATGTTGGACGTTGCAATGGTTGGCGTCTATTTGGTCACAGTATGTATGTCTATGTATGCAAAATATGGCGTTGTAGTGTCCTTGGAGCATGGTATGATGATCTTGCTTGCCTCTGAGATCGTACATTCAATCACCTATTACATCGTGGAGTCAGCTTGGAACCATCAAGAGATTGAAGAGGAGTTGAAAGAAGTTGAAGTCGACAAGTTGACAGATGGAATGGATGGCACACCGCAAAATAGCTGGTCGGCCATAACAGGTTGCTGTTCCAACCGATGGACTTTGTCTCCCGGACCTGCGTCCGCTTTCCCAATGGGTCTACTTTCATAGAAAGGGCCGGTCTCACAGAAATTCTCATGGATCAGAGAGGATCTCTGATCCATGCCCCTTGAAACAAAAAGGCAGTTGATCATGCTCGGAGGCAAATGTGATGATGGTCCATGATGTTTGAACAATTTACCTAGATTTGATGATTTGATTCTTTTGTTGCTATGTTGCTTGACGTTGCGTACTTGCAGTTGTCAGCTTGCTGCTTTCGTTTTTTTTTGCAGTCACGTTTGCATTTGGGTGGCTCGAGAGTTTGCAGATGTCAGCTAGTTGATTGTAAATCAGTCATGGAAGGTATTCACTGATGAGATTAGAGTATATAGAGGGTTGCAAATGTTGCAATTTGCGCTTGCATGATTTTCAGACATTTTTTTTTGCATCGCAGCGAAGTGTGAAGTCGAGAGATTTTGGATCTCCTGCCTTTCCGAATCCTCAATGAATGGCACAGTTTGCATCTAAAGGACCGCGATCCTCAAATTGTTTGGGGTGCTGCTGCTGTGCTTTGAAGAAAGGATTGCGTGTCGTGCAGCGGCAGAATTGCAGCAAATCTGGGACAACAGTTGCCATTGCAGGAGGATACTGCTGTCCGATCTGTAGCCTGCTCCCCAATACGACATAGAACAGCTTGCCAGTGTAAGCATGGTCTGCAAAATGAAGGAACAACAGAAACAACTGAATCTTTGAGCGAGCTACTTGTGCAAGTGGATAAACTGGCCAAACCCAGATAGCCATCATGAAGCCGGAAAAAGAAAGGGACAGAGTGGAAACCAATTTTTGGAGACGCGAAAATACAGCATGTCTCCCTTGCAGGTCAAAGCCTTCTTGGACCATCCGCAAAGTATCACATCAAGGCCTGACTGGATGACTTAACTTAGGCGAATTCGACAAATCGTCTCTGAAAGCGAAGTTGAGAGAATGCCAGTATGTACACAGTGCATCACAGTGCACTGTAGACTCTGCTCCAGCCTCAAAATCTCTCAAGGTCTGTGCTCGTCGACGTCTCAGCTGACTTGATGCACTTGGGCCGAAAAAATGTCACGGATGCACCCCGAGCTGCGCCCAGGACACACTCTCGCCCAACTTGACAGTTGTGCATCTTGTGGTCGACTAGCAGACTGCCAAGATGTGCAAAGTTGAAAATGCAGATTCCTTGCCACATTTTTGCCACATTTTTGCCACCCTTTGCTCTCTTTGCACCTATTTGCAGGTCCGGAAGGATGATCTCGAAGAACATACCAAGAGATGTAGAAGGGCACAATTGTCACAGGACGAAACATTTTGATTCAGGCGATAGAACACCACGGTATGGGCCAAGCAGTAGTCGGAGCCAAATATGAGCCCTCAGGACGGCTTGCATGAAGATTTGAAGAAGGCCTGGCAGGCGCTGAAGCCTCACTGTTTCCCGTGTTGCCTGTCCAGTGGTTTTCAAGTTGCTGCTCTGGACACGTGTGGCAAGGAACGGGCGAAGCTGCTTCGGGTGACTCTGGCGAAAATTGAGGCACTTGAGGGTAGCAGCTCGTATGAGATAAAAAATGATAGAAGCTGGTAGCTGGTAGCAGCTGGTGCACCCAAGAGCTGGGCTTCCACTCGCTCTTCGGGCGTGTCAGTGCCCGGGTGCGTTGTGCAGGCAGGCGAAATTGGCAGCCTGGGGCTCAAACTTGTGAGAAGCTGCGTGGGATGCTGATAGAATCGGTTTCTCTGCAGAAATTCGGGATACAAACCATGTGTGCTCTCCTCCGCAACCAACCCAAGACGGCGGTGGAACCCACTCTTGGAAACATCTTGAGGTCTTGATCCACGTGGTTTCTTTGTTTGCTCAATTTGCGGACAGCAAGGCCCGTTCAAGTTCTATTCATTTGCTTACGGAGCTGGGCGTACTCTTTCTATTATGCAGAACTTGAAGCTACACAGGCTCAGTCTGCTCTAGTTGACCACGAATGGTTGAAAGAAAAAGGCAAAACCGATAAGCGACATCACGAAATCCTCTCGGGAACTCAGCTTGTTGCAGCAACTTCTCAGACTCATGGGTCTCCCACTTGCCCTTCAAAGGTGATCCCCCGCAAACAGGCTTAGGCTACACAACCTTTGACAACTTCGATTATACTTCACAGCCTTCGGCATTCCGCCGGCCCGCCGGCCATCTGGCCTTTGGCCTACAGGCCCAAAGCAGGGGTTGTGTAAAGCTGGCTGGTGTAAAAGGTTGGTTTGTCGAAAAAGTGGTGCATGTAGAAGCTGGGTTATAAAAGGTGGTTGGTGTATGTGGGTTATGTGGGTGTAAAAGGTGGTTTGCGTAAAATGTGGTTTGTGAGAAGAAGAAGAAGAAGAAGAGAAGAAGAAGAAGAAGAAGAAGGAGAAGAAGAAGAAGGAGAAGAAGAAGAAGAAGGAGGAGGAGAAGAAGAAGAAGAAGGAGAAGAAGAAGAGGAAGAAGAAGAAGAGGAAGAAGAAGAGGAAGAAGAAGAAGAAGAAGGAGAAGAAGAAGAGGAAGAAGAAGAAGAAGAAGAGGAAGAAGAAGAAGAAGAAGAGGAAGAAGAAGAAGAGGAAGAATAAGAAGAAGAGGAAGAAGAAGAAGAAGGAGAAGAAGAAGAAGAAGAAGAAGAGGAAGAAGAAGAAGAAGAAGAGGAAGAAGAAGAAGAAGAGGAAGAAGAAGAAGAAGAGGAAGAATATGGTGATGAGGAGGACGACGAGGAGTAGGAGGAGGAGGATGATGATGATGATGCTGATGCTGACGATAACCACCGAGACGGTGATGATGGAAATAAGGTCAGAGCTAGTTTGCCTGGGAGACGATGCTAGAGTAGACTAGACTAGAAGACTAGACTATAATAGACTATAGTGTACAGGTGGAGGGGCAGACAGCAGGGGGGACCGGGGGGGATGAGGGAGGGGCGGGGTAGGGCAGCAAAACCAAACATCTGTCGAAGGTTTGCAACAAGAACATCCACAAAACACGCCGGCAGGCTGCGGATTTTTCCCCCTATCACTCTATCACAAATATAACCAGAAGTAACATGTGTGCAAAACGAACATTAGATGCAGTATCTGGTGCATACTATGCATCATCATTATGTATCCTTTTCATCTGCCTTGTTTTTTTTTGTGTTCTTTGTTGTCTTGAGTGTAAAGGCCATGATGTCAACATTTTTTGTAAAATTTTGTTATCAATTCTTTTTGGAGGCCTGGGGCTTGTTCAAATCTTGCCGCACGAGGCAAGTGCAGAAAATGCTGCAGTCTGCCATGTAGATTGAGAGTTGATGCAAGCTTGATGCACGGTTGATGCACAGTTGATACACAGTTGATGCACGCTTGATTCACCTGCATCAGGAGCAATGCCGAGCACGTTTGAGTGCAGAGGGCCATGTCCCACAGCCAACCTGCAGGGAGGAGACTCAGGCTCGGGCCTTGAAGTTCAGATGAGCACTGCAACTATTGACGCTGCAACATGTGGAACTCAAATCCGGCACTTCCGCAATTCTGATGATTGTGTATCTTCTGCCAATCTTCTGCTATTTTGCTTCCCTCCTTACCTTATTCCATGCATTTTTCAACTTCTCTTGATCCTCTTGTCTCAACGGCGGCCTCCTTTTGTTCAGGCGCTTCAACTCAGTCTTGCATACAAGCTGGCAGCCTTGAAAGCAGAAGTTGCCGAGGCATCGCAAAATGGGATGCGTGAAGGAATAAAATGCAAAAAAAACACAGTGGATTTGCCTGCTTAATATATTCATGAGGTCTACTCGCGAAGGTGAATTAATATTAGCAGTCTTCTTCCTGCAATGTTGAAAAAACATCATTGATGGAATCATTCCCGCTGGAAAAACTGCAGAATCCTTTAGACCTTTGGAATGCCTGACCTATGGATCAAAGATCCGGACATGCTTGTGAACCCACATCATACCGTGCACAAACCAAAATATGCATATCATCCTATACAAATGCCCAAAATAGACACATACAAGTAGAGGCAACCACGCGCTAGCTTTGAAGAGGTAAGGTTCCAGAGAAATGTTCCACAAATTTCAATGTAGTCTCCTTGCGTTGAAAGGCTGCAGCGGCAAACGGACATGACCCTGGCGTGCCTCTTAGAGCCAGCGCAGAGACGTCAGTTGTGGGAAGAGTGCGGTGAGAATTCGATCGAACCGAGGTGAACTGTTGTCCCTCAGTCTGGACAGATTGCGGGACGTCGCAAAGAACGCTTGCTTTCGGGAGGCTGGAGAGTGACCGAAGATGTTTCCCCAACGGAGGGTTATTTTATGTTTTTGTTTTTCTTGCTTCTCTGTTTTCTACTTGCTGCTTCTTTGCTTCGCTGCTTCTCTGCTTCTCCGTTTTCTGCTTCTCTGCTTTCCTTTTTTGTTTGCTTCTCAAGCCTCAATAAACCCAATGAAACACGGAAACACTATACTATGCCTTAAACCAAGCCTAGTAAACCCTAAACCAACCCTGAATAAACCTTAAACCAACCCTAAATAGATCCTTAACCAACGGTAAATAGATCTTAAACCCCGCCTAAATAAACCCTCAACCATGTTTTCAATATAGATTGCAAACGAAGACTAAATGGATCTTAAACTAAACCACTAGACAAACCTTAAACCAACCCTAGAATAGACACTTAACCAACCTTAAATAAACCCTAAACCAACCCAACAAAAACAATGAACAGAAAACACAATGAACGAAAAACGCAATGAAACCACCGCAAAAACCAACCGTTGGAACCAACCTTTAAAAACTAAACCAACGACAAGAAACCTTAAACCAACCCTAAAACCAACCCAACAAACCAACGCTAGATAAACCCTAAACCAACCCTAAATGAACCCTAGCTGCAAATTACGATGCATCATGAACTGTTCAAACACCAAATTGTTGCACATGCCATGGAAATGAGACGGTCGAACTCCAAAATGTTGCAAATACTGTTGAAATGGCAGCTTCCAGCTCCGAAATGCTGCAAGTAGCAACGAAAACGGACGGAAGAGGAAATCCAAAAAACATCCCAAAGTGGAAAATCGTTTTCCCCAAATTATTTTGGACCCTTTCCTGCAACACATGGCCTAGATCAGCAAAATGTTAGACTTATCGCAATCCTTTGGCAAACTTCATTATCCCAATCCTATGGCAATCCTTTTGAGTCTTTGTTGGCTCCCAAGGACACGTGAGCACACTATTGTGTTTAATCAATGGTTCCAACCTATATCTTTCTTGGATGTTTGAGCCAGCAAAGAGCCTCGTGACAAATGTTATACTCTCTGCACTGGTAATCTGGCATAAGTTATTACAGTCTTGCTTGTGGTGATTGGTTCTGGTGTCAATGGGTCTGTGGAATACGATTTGGAAACTGACCAGGGTGAAAATGAGGCCTTGGTCCTGCTGCTCCTGTCGCCTTTGCTGCTGATGCTGCCTCTGCCGCTGCCTCTGCTGCTTCTTTGCGTAGTTTTTTGTTGGTATTTGTGTGAATCTATATGGCCCCATATGTACTGTAATTCATTTCAATTCATTCTTTAGAGTTGAACAAGCCAAGCGACAGGGTCTTACTTGAAAGACGCAAAGCGCCTTGTGTGGGTGATGGGGAACATACTCTGTATATAGTCAATGCACATTTGTTGTTGCATTCATTGGCAGTGGGTGCAGGAAAAGAAGTACCGAAGACTGCGAATGTCAAATGCGGCTGTGGCAGAGGCATACCTAAGCAATGCCATGTAATGCACTCTTCCTGAACATTTTGTTGTTTCTGATACAGTTTTTGATGTTTTGATGTACACAATGTACAAATTGGAAAGGCTGGACTGCAAACTTGTGGCTAGTTTCGTAGGGGCTAGTGCGGGCTAGTGCGGGTGGTGTGCAGTTGCAGGAGGGTGCCACTTGCGAGTAGGTTCGGCTGTTTTGAAGGCCATTGGCCGGTGGAAAGCAGCTGTAGAACTTCTGGAGGTTTGGAGCCTAGTACCACTTTTTTCAAGGTTTGCTGGGGGTAGCTGGTTGGAAGCTTTCACTTGGCATACTATTACATGCTTTCCCTTCAAGGCGATCGGCTTTGAGCAAGTGATGCACACCAGCAAGACAGGCTGCTTTCCTGCAAAAATGCATTGCTTCGTCAGTCAGGCCTGGATGTAATCAGGGTACAAAATGAATCAAATGATATATGTACGTTGCTTACGCGTTCTTCCCAGAAGACTGAATAAGCTTCTAGACGCAACGTGCGGAAGAGTAGAACGCATCGTCATGGGTTCAAGAGTTCAAGAGCATTCCAAGGTGGCGATTCTGAACCTCATTTGATCATGGCATCACAACTGGGAGAGGCAAGCTTCAAGGTGGCTTGCTTGTATCGCTGTTCGGGAAAGAGCATTGCAACAGACGAATTCCAAATTTTAAAGATATAAAACTTATATAACTTATAACAGTCATCATGTGCTTTTCATGCAAGTCTATTGTATGCTTGACCCATCTTGCCGTCAAAGGCCTATTTGGATGTCTTGGACGGCAAGGAGATGGATTCAGGATCAAGCATACTGGAGGAATGTCCTCACTGCAAAAGAAAATTCCGTTTCGATCGCATAGCGAAGCACGAAACCCGATGCCCTGAATCAAAGGCAAAGCCGGCCAAGCTAGATGTTGTTGCCAAGTTGCTTGCTGGCACGCCTGGGGAGAAGCACATTGCGGAGGTGAGACGATCGATCCAAAATGGCATAACGCTACCTCCGCTGGTAATGAAGCGAGAAAATGGTGAGGAATCCGATGGGCTGCAAGAATGCGCTCGGTGCAAAAGACGATTCTCAGCTGAAGCCATGGAGAAACACGCCAGAAGGTGCACAGCCACACCACGAGCACCTTCTGCAAGGCGATTAAATCCTTTGCAAAGTGAAACAGCGCGACCCCCAGAATCGGCTTCCCGGCCAAGTTCATCTAGGCACAAAGATGCTGGAGGAATGAGGTCGATCAACAAAGATTTGAGCGGAAATCTGGAAGCGCAGGAAATCCCAAAGGAGTCCAAGCGAGGGACACCCGGAGGGACACCTGGAGGAACACCTGGAGGGACACCGAGAGGGACCAGACCCAACTCAGAAACTTCAGAGGTTCCAGCCTTGCGATCTGGATCTCGTGGATCTCGTGGATCTCGCGGATCTCGTTCATCTCATGGACAGAGGGAGCAGGTGCAAAGGCCACTGACCCCGAAAAGAGGTATGGAGTCCATGGAGTCTGTCAAGACACGCAGCACAAGCAGCACAACCACGGCTGGCAACTCGCGGCCAGGATATCCCAATGGACGCAGTGCAGCTGTACAAACTGCACAACCATCTTATGAACAGCTTGAGCTTGATGTGGCTGACTGGCTAGACGAGAAGTGAGTAGTTGTCACATGTGGAGGAACATTCCTAGCTGGCGTTAGTTGGGATCCTTGCGGACCTGGTTTGAGCAAAGGTCAGGTACTTCTCCTGGTTCCTGCAGAGGCTGCTTTTGCGTACTTTCGCCGCTGTAGTTCATACGATGCTGCAGTTGCACTGGCTGGTGTTTGGTCCTGTAGTTGGACGGAATCTTCCAGATGGTCTAGAACACGGAGGACATGCAGCAGACGAACTAGATAGAAAAGACTTAAATGGAAGGATGGAAGCAATGATGCAAAGCGGTTCAGGATGTCGATGAGTTTGCACTTGACCAAGACACAACAATGCATGTTGACAGCACGTGTAGTCCTTTCATTGTCCAAGTAGAAAGTGTCAGACTAGACTAGACTAGGCACTATTTGCCAGGTTGGATTTCAGCATTTCTGTAAAGTTGATTGCAGATTCACCTTATACGCAGCAGTGCCTGCAAGAATTGACGATCTTTTCGGACAAAAATATGATGATCATTGATCTCTTAAGCCAGATCCACTCCAGACTAGCTTTAAATGAAGCAACTCTCAATGTTTGTACGGCACTCCTCCTTAAATTCCCAAAGATGGGACAATGTGCCCTGGCAGCTCTTGCGACAGCCGCATATGCCCTTGACAATGGGGTCGGGTTTCTTGGCAACATTTTTGGAGTCAACCATGGAAGAACGAACAAGCTCGAAAAATCATATGGTCATATCCTGTCATAGAGTCATATCCAATTTGACTTTAACATACTTCTACTACTGCAAAAAGCAGACACGACCCTAGCTTGCAAGGCTTGTGCCGCCATTGGGGTACAACACATGGAATGAACCTTGTATGCATTGTGCTCTGTGTTGAGTGCCATTGAAAGACATACGACTCGGACTCAATGACAGAAAAGATAAATTTCATGGAAAGAATCTTTCGCATGAGTGACAGCCAATAGCAGCTGATAGCCGCTAGCCAAGGACCTGTCTTGTGCAGGCATGTCAGAGGAGGCAGTTCTCTCTGCCGCCGAAGCACTGCGTAGCACTGGATTGCAACAGCGAGGCTACGTGTGACTTTGATGAAGTCAATGACCTGCTTGGCCAAGGACCTGAGGCAAAAGAAGCCCACAAACACCCATAGGAAATAGACGCCCATGGAAATAGACACCCATGGAAATAGACACAAGGTGGTCTCAGCAATTGTCGGTTCATTTTCTTCACGCACTTGAGTTTCTTTCGGTTGAAGTCAGCCCAGCAGTTGGTGATTTGTTGTATTCTCGGCGTCCCAGGTATGTGAATCTCGATGATTGCTGGCAAGATCCAGCAGGACGAGATGAAAGTGGTCGCTTGAGAGCAGATCCGAAGAAGTTTCCTTCGGGTATGCCGGTTGGCTGCAAGATCAGTACTCTAAACTTACTCAAGCAAGCTAAGAAACATATCTAAACCGCCAAAGCTAGTTGTCTTTGCTGTATGGATTGTTATTCAGTGTTTTCGTTTGAAAGGCACAATCTCTCCAGCTTTCTCCATCAAAGAGGCCAGGTGACTTGTGCAACGGTCCCGTCGCAGTGTTTCCACTCTGGATTTGGCAAGGCCGTTTTCAAGTTTTTCAAGTCCCACCATGTCCCACCCCATTTTAGGCTTCAAGTTTGGGCTCTACACCGATCGGGGTCGGAAAACCTGTGCTGGACGAGAGGGAAGTGAAGGTGAGGCACCGTATGCCGAGCAGATGATTGAAACATTTGAAACCAAAACGTTTTAGGCAAAAAGAGCGTAGTCTCAAATGAACTTCTACCTCCTTGTCACAAATGGATAGATCTGTGCCTCCAACTCTGGAAATTAGTGGATGCAATTTTGTTCATATAAATGAGACTTGTTGCTCGGAATTTGAATCTTTACGCAAAAAATGGTATAGAATTCTGAAGAGATATGAGGTCAACTGCAGGACAAGGTAGGACAAGAAGCAACGACAAACATGTGCCAAGTCCGAACGCGTTAATGTTCGTTGCAGTCAGTGTTGGAACGTTGGAAAGCTGCTGTGACTACCTCTGGATGATCAATACAACGTAGCTATTGAGGCTGGTTGGAGCCAACGATCGTAGCAGAAAAGGAGGGGAGGCGTTCCTTTGTGTTGAGCGTGGGCCTCGCTGTCGTGTGCTCCCCGAGACACCTAACCGACTGTGTATTGCGAAGGCTGAACCCGTTGAGTGGATTATTTGCGCGGCAAGCCTGACCACTGGCCTATTTGTCACGGTACTACTGCTGTCCGGAACAGTCTCCTGCACGGTGCGGGTTCAATGATTCGATTCGCCAAACCATTTTGCTCCATTACTCTCTGCGAAATTCAAAAACATCAGAGATGCATAGCTTTGACTCCTGATTACCAGCAAAGAGATCAAGTGGTCGCCTGTGGAATGCACGTGTTGACATTGTGCCGAGCACAGTCTGTTCTCCAACCACCCAAGCCTCCCTTGCTTCCGAGCCTCAATTCTTCGCGTTTGGCTCTCCTGCCGGCGTATTGCTTGTTGACCTGGAAGACATGACCACAAAAAGTGCAAAAACATGATGCTGATTATGGCAATCAAATCAAGGATTCATAGAAGCTCCCTCAAGTCTAGAAATAAGACAGAGAGATATTGTCAATAATCCAAACTCCGAACAGCCGCGCGGGGTGCTGATTAGGCTTTGAAGCCCTAGATGCACAAACCTTCGCTGACTGGGGAGCCTCTGCAGCATTCAGCAGCGCTTTTAGCCACAGCTCAGCACTTTTGGCTTTCAGCTTCTGCAACTTTAGTTTCACACCTTTTGCGAAGGAGTTGACTACGTGAAGGAGGACCATTGATTTTTGCCGTCATTTCATCTGTCTCAGTCTCCAGCTGTTGCAGGTAGAGGATGGAAAGCGGGGACAGAGGTATTTAAACCATTTCTAAAAAAATAAAAAACATATCGAAGGAAGTTTAGAAGTCAAACTTCCGGCAGTATGGACAGATGATAAAGCAGAGGTTGGTGGGAAGAGTCAGAGAAGGGAAGAGAAGAAGAAAGAAGATCAGAGAAGAGAAGAGTCAGAAGAAAGAAGATGCAGGTGCGCAAAAAGGTAGAAAAGTCGCGAATCACTGTGTTTTTCCAATGATTTGTGGCTCCGGAGGGTCGAATAGTAGGCTCGCTAAAGCGGCGGGTTGATGTCTACTGAAAAATCTCGGAATTCCGCCGGAAGTCTCAAGATACCGCCGCAAATCAAAAAAAAGAAGGAGAAGAGAAAAAAGAAGAGGAAAAGAAGAGGAAAAGAAGAGGAAAGGGAAGAGAAAAAACAAGAATAAAACAAAACAATGCAAACATGTATAATGTGATGTATAGTGTATAATGTATCCCAGTGGTATGAGGCTATGTTGCTAGGTGGCTAATAAACCAGTAGCCGGCTAATGTTTGTATGGTACGAGGCTAACATGTTGCTGGTACAGTACGAGGCTAGTAGGTGTGCCCTCCTTATAGTGTCCTATCTTCGAAACTTCCGCCACCGCCTTGTGCGGTACTACTGGTAGTTGGTGATGTGGCTTGTGGAATGAGGGCAGGGATCGCACAAGTTGTTCTTCATTGTTGTCGCCATGATACCAGAAAGAAAAACCTTTGTTTTTCCTCCTCAGCCCTTCATTATTCTGGCCTCCTTTGTTCAAGAACAACAAAAGTCCAAGAAACAACCCGCTCGACTGGAACGGCGAATCAAACATGACTTGCCTGGTCAGTATTCAGCACCAAAACTCATCAGGATCAAACAACACTCAGTACTCATTGACTTTGAAATTTTAAATCATCAGGAGCACCAAAAAACATCTTGATTGCTTTACTCCAGATTCCATCCGAACTGTGCCTCTTGAAGGACAATTGCCATAGCTCCTCTGGTCCCAATGACAAGACGCAGCTTTTCAAACAATTTGCGCTCTTCCGAGATGCTTTGAACAAGACTGGAAGACCGATGATCTTTTCTGCACCTTGGCAACACCTTGGCAACACCTTGGCAACACCTTGGCAACACCTTGGCAACACCTTGGCAACACCTTGGCAACACCTTGGCAACACTTCATTACTTCATACATGCTTTTCAAATCTTTTCAACATGGGATCATGCACTTGCTGTGTTTCTGCCGCGTTATCTTGCCGCCTTAAGTTGAATAACGTTTAGTGTCGTTGGGTGCAGCATTCAAAACGAAATCTAGGTATGTGGAGGGGGAGATCAGTTGCCCTTCTCCAACTTGTCGTTTGGGCCTTACCTTTTCGAATGTTGCCAGAGTCAAGATGAGCTAAGACATGTGCTGTGAAATTGCTGTGACTGTATGGTTCAGGCCTTCGAACTTGATTAATGTACCATGCAGTGTCAAAAACCATTGTCAGAGGACAAAGGACAGGAGGGATAGAAAAATAAGCAAATACAAAAGCGAACCAGGGAAGAGTTGAACCTGCACAACAGCTGTTGGACCTAGCAAATGGAAAACTATAAATATCGTCATCTCTTTTGATGGCGTTCGCTCTTCACAGGCAAAAATATCCAATTTTAATCAACGCTGCCTTCATACAGTGCTAGGTGTCAAAATGATCTAACCGAGAAAGTTTTGAAGAACGGTGCAGACCCTCCTGGTGATGGTTGAAGCTCCTGTAGAATCCAGAATTTAAAACGGAGCTCGGAAAGCTGCGGTTGGTCGAGCTCGAAAAGCTGCAGTGAACCCACTGAGGTATTACGCCACAGATGAGAGAGGTGGTACATCTTTGGCAAACCTGTGGAGAATCAGCAGCGATGTTACTGGATCATGGACATTGAGGCGAGAGACGAAAGAGACGAACACAAACTGACTTTGTGACTTTGGGTTTGCTTAGCTCAGCTTTGCATGGCAGTTTAGTGTGGCCTCGATGGCGGCCAGGTTTTCATATGAAGTTGACGCTGGTCTTGGGCAATTTGCTGGGCCAGGCCAAAAGCCCGTGGCTCATGTGGCTCACGTGGCTCATGTGGCCTGTGTGGCCCTGCAAGGCCGTCTTTGAAGTGACACAATTGATCTGAGCTCCGGACAGGTGGCTTCAATGATCCGGACATGCTGTGATCACCTCAGCAAAGCATGGCATATGTCAAAGCATATGGCGGGTTCGGGGGATTATTGAAGAGAGTCATTTAAGATCATTTAAGATCATTTAAGTGACAACTCGACCTGTTAGAAGATGCTCTCAGAGTTGCAGAGTGGCTTCAAGCCAGGCTTGGCTCGTCACTAGGGGCAGCCAGACGTCTCGAACCTCACCAAAGCCGAACACAGCTTGAACCTTTGAACCGCACTTCACCTCATGAAGCACTTGAAGCACTCGAAGCACTCGAAAAACTCCATCCCCTTGAGATGAAACCAACATATCCAACACTGAAACAAGTTCTGAAGCAATCTGAAGCGCTAAAACAAAGATGGTTTCACTGAAGTAGCTGAACTCAGCAGATGAACTCAGCTGCTGAAATGAAAGCTGGCAGCTGTCGAGGTTCAGTCTGTGGGCAATGCTGATGGCCCCAATGCTTCTCGGTGCAGACGTCCGTCGACTGACAGCCTTCGATTTGGAGCTTTGGCAAAATTGGCCTGAAAGAGCAAGCGTAGGGCCTTTGGGAGAGGGATTCAGTACTTGTCCTTGTCACTAGTACGTGTTTGTTTGACTCCTTCTTGTGAATGTCTTTTGTCACAGCAAGCAGGTAGTCTCAAATACATTCTTGGTTTAATACAACCTTTACAGTCAAAACCCCACATGATGATTGCAGACTCCCACAAGTGATACCTATTGATGCGCATGTTTCCACACGGTCTGCACTCGGGTGGTCAGTTGGCGTCATCGCAGGCATGCCTCCAGCTGTGCAATGCCCATAAGCAAAACTCAAAGGCCTAGTAGCCGCATGCCCAGCAGCAAAGCCAAAGGCATGGAAGCAAATCATCTCTAGGCAGCAAGAGATTTGGTAACAGCAACAATAAACCCTTTGGTTGATTCAGCAATTCAACACGGCCTCTTGAAATTTCAGCAATTAGCCTTTATTCGTGCGCGCTTTGTGTCTAAGTGCGCAGGCAACCGGGCGAATGCGAAGAAGTCACAGGTGTAGATGGTGTTTTTATAAATTCAAAATTTTTGATAGACCAACAACACATTAAACCAACAGCGAGGATACTGTATCGTTTAGAGTGAAATGGGTGTTGCTCAATTTCCAACTTGAAAAACAAATATATTATAGAATGGGCTAGCGCCCTGGTGCCGCCGACCCCCCTTATTTGGGGGGTCCTGTAGAGAGAGGGAGAGAGAGAGAGAGAGAGAGAGAGAGAGGGAGGGAGAGAGAGAGAGAGAGGGCTTGGTGGAAGCTGCCGCGGGGGATTTGGAGGGTTGTAGGGGTTTTAAGGGTTTGAATAACGGCTTGAAGGCTGGCAAACGGCAGGCTTGAATGCCTTAACAACAGAGGGCTATGCAGGCAAACGCAGGCAAACTGCAGACCGCAACGCTGGAACAGCAAAGGCTTACGGCCAGAGGGCTTGGTGGAAGCTGCCGCGAGGGATTTGGAGGGTCTTAGGGGTTTGAAGAGTTTTAAAGGTTTTAAGGGTTTGAAGGCTGGCAAACGGCAGGCTTGAACGCCCAAACGGCAGGCTTGAACAACAGAGGGCTATGCAGGCAAACGGCAGGCTGCAACGCTGGGACAGCAAAGGCTTACGGCCAGAAAGCTTGGTGGAAGCTGCCGCGAGGGATTTGGAGGGTTTTAGGGGTTTTAAGGGTTTGAAGGTTGGCAAACGGCAGGCTTGAACGCCCTAACAGCAGAGGGCTATGCAGGCGAACGGCAGGCTGCAACGCTGGGACAGCAAAGGCTTACGGCCAGAAAGCTTGGTGGAAGCTGCGGCGAGGGATTTCGAGGGTTTTAGGGGTTTTAAGGGTTTGAAGGCTGGCAAACGGGCAGTCTCGAACCCCCTGAAAAACAGATGGCAAAGGCATGTAGTAGCTGTAAGAGTTGTTGCCTTGGAAAGGCTTGCGGGTTTGAAGCCGGGCAAACGGCAAAGCCGGGCAAACGGCAGTCTTGAACCCCGTGAAAAACAGATGGCAGGGGCATGTAGCTGTAAGAGTTGTTGCCTTGGAGGCCTCGGAAGGGTTTGAGGATGAAAAACAGATGGCAGGGCCATGTAGCTGTAAGAGTTGTTGCCTTGGAAAAGCGTGCGGAAGCGTTTGGAGGGTTTGAAGCCGGGCAGACGGCAGTCTTGAACCCCGTGAAAAACAGATGGCAAAGGCACGTAGCTGTAAGAGTTGTTGCCTTGGAGGCCTGCGGAAGAGTTTGAGGGTGAAAAACAGTCGGCAGGGGCATGTAGCTGTAAGAGTTGTTGCCTTGGAGGCCTGCGGAAGGGCTTGGAGCGTTTGAAGCCAGGCAAACGGCAGTCTTGAACCCCCTGAAAAACAGATGGCAGGGGCATGGAGCTGTAAGAGTTGTTGCCTTGGAGGCCTGCGGAAGGGTTAGGAGCGTTTGAAGCCGGGCAAACGGCAGTCTTGAACCCCCTGAAAACAGATGGCAGGGGCATGTAGCTGTAAGAGTTGTTGCCTTGGAGGCCTGCGGAAGGGTTTGGAGCGTTTGAAGCCGGGCAAACGGCAGTCTTGAACCCCCTGAAAAACAGATGGCAGGGGCATGTAGCTGTAAGAGTTGTTGCCTTGGAGGCCTGCGGAAGGGTTTGGCGGGTTTGAAGCCGGGCAAACGGCAGTCTTGAACCCCCTGAAAAACAGATGGCAGGGGCATGTAGCTGTAAGAGTTGTTGCCTTGGAGGCCTGCGGAAGGGTTTGGAGCGTTTGAAGCCGGGCAAACGGCAGTCTTGAACCCCCTGAAAAACAGATGGCAGGGGCATGTAGCTGTAAGAGTTGGTGCCTTGGAGGCCTGCGGAAGGGTTTGGAGCGTTTGAAGCCAGGCAAACGGCAGTCTTGAACCCCCTGAAAAACAGATGGCAGGGGCATGTAGCAGTAAGAGTTGTTGCCTTGGAGGCCTGCGGAAGGGTTTGGAGCGTTTGAAGCCGCAGATGGCAGGGGCATGAAGCTGTAAGAGTTGTTGCCTTGGAGGCCTGCGGAAGGGTTTGGCGGGTTTGAAGCCGGGCAAGCGGCAGCCTTGAACTCCCTGAAAAACAGGTGGCAGGGGCATGTAGCTGTAAGAGTTGTTGCCTTGGAGGCCTGCGGAAGGGTTTGGAGGGTTTGATGCCGGGCAAACGGCAGGCTTGAACCCCGTGAAAAATAGGTGGCAAAGGCATGTAGCAGTAAGAGTTGTTGCCTTGGAAAAGCCTGCGGAAGCGTTTGGAAGGTTTGAAGCCGGGCAAAGGGCAGTCTTGAACCCCGTGAAAAACAGATGGCCGGGGCATGTAGTAGCTGTAAGAGTTGTTGCCTTGGAGGCCTGCGGAAGGGTTTGGCGGGTTTGAAGCCGGGCAAACGGCAGTCTTGAAACCCCTGAAAAACAGATGGCAGGGGCATGTAGCTGTAAGAGTTGTTGCCTTGGAAAGGCGGAGCGTTTGAAGCCGGGCAAACGGCAAAGCCGGGCAAACGGCAGTCTTGAACCCCCTGAAAAACAGATGGCAAAGGCATGTAGCTGCAAGAGTTGGTGCCTTGAAGGCCTGCGGAAGGGTTTGGAGCGTTTGAAGCCGGGCAAACGGCAGTCTTGAACCCCCTGAAAAACAGATGGCGGGGGCATGTAGCTGTAAGAGTTGTTGCCTTGGAGGCCTGCGGAAGGGTTTGGAGCGTTTGAAGCCGGGCAAACGGCAGTCTTGAACCCTTGAAAAACAGATAGGAAGGGGCATGTAGCTGTAAGAGTTGTTGCCTTGGAGGCCTGCAGAAGGGTTTGGCGGGTTTGAAGCCGGGCAAACGGCAGTCTTGAACCCCCTGAAAAACAGATGGCAAAGGCATGTAGCTGCAAGAGTTGGTGCCTTGGAGGCCTGCGGAAGGGTTTGGAGCGTTTGAAGCCGGGCAAACGGCAGTCTTGAACCCCCTGAAAAACAGATGGCAGGGGCATGTAGCTGTAAGAGTTGGTGCCTTGGAGGCCTGCGGAAGGGTTTGGAGCGTTTGAAGCCGGGCAAACGGCAGTCTTGAACCCTTGAAAAACAGATAGGAAGGGGCATGTAGCCGTAAGAGTTGTTGCCTTGGAGGCCTGCAGAAGGGTTCGGAGGGTTTGAAGCTGGGCAAACAGCAGTCTTGAACCCCTTGAAAAACAGATGGCAGGGGCATGTAGCTGGAAGAGGTGTTGCCTTGGAAGAGCCTGCTGCGGCGTTTGGAGGGTTTGAAGCCGGGCAAACGGCAGTCTTGAACCCCGTGAAAAACAGATGGCAGGGGCATGTAGATGGCTGGGGAATGTAGCTGACAGAGTTGTTGCCTTGGAAAGGCCTGCTGCGGCGTTTGGAGGGTTTGAAGCTGGGCAAACGGCAGTCTTGCCTTGGAAAGGCCTGTGGAGGGTTTGGAGGGTTTGAGGCCGGGCAAGCGGCAGTCTTGAACCCCCTGAAAAACAGATGGCAGGGGCATGTAGCTGTAAGAGTTGTTGCCTTGGATGCCTGCTGCGGCGTTTGGAGGGTTTGAAGCCGGGCAAACGGCAGTCTTGAACCCCATGAAAAACAGATGGCAGGGGCATGTAGCTGACAGAGTTGTTGCCTTGGAAAGGCGTGTGCCTTTGCTTGCGACCAGAGAGCCAAGTTCCACACCTCCAGTGGTCCCAGGCGCCACCCCTGCCTTGGCAAAGGCCGGGGTCGGCGGATATAGAGCAGGTATAGAATAAACAGCAGCTAAATGTGAGGATGTGGTTGGAAGTGAAATGTGTGTTGCTTAGCATCTAGTTTTGCCCCCAGTAGTTGAAATGCAGATGTCCTCTTTATGTTCACAAATTCGCATTGAAAGATTAAACATGGCCCTCATCTCTGCAATGGTTTTATGTCCGAGTTCGTGGATGGCCGTCGGGCATAGCGCCCTGGCTGGCCACCGGACCATGTACGAAGACTGTACGCTTTAAGATAGAAGACTTTACAGACTTAGCCTAGATATAAAGAAGTTACATAATTTATGTTGGAAGTTAACATGACTTATCAAAACTATGAAAAGAAGTTATGTTAACTTGGATAACTTATTTGTAAGTTTTTGGTAAGTTTCGATAACTTTTTATAACTTTTGATAACTTTTTATAACTTTTAAAGGCTTTGCAGTGTTGGTTTCAAAGTTGTTTCGGATCATGCTTAATAATAACGTAATAATTGGCTGATTTGGGCGGCATTTTTTTTCCTCTGAGCTGTGCGAAAGGTGCTGCAGGTTGTTTTCTTTTCTCTGGTTTGCTTTCTTTATGATGACTTGAATTTGCCACAAGATGAACCATATCAAATTCAAACACGGACTACAGTATATATAGTTGGGATCGCGTTTGTGATTTTTTTCTTGTTGATACTTATATATAAACACTATTAACTCTAACATATTGTAGTTACAATAGCTTTATATTGTCTAACTTTAAATAGTTATTATTTTTCTTGCTGAATTTGTGGGTTTTGTGTGTCTACAAGTTTTTTTTTTAAGAAACCCACTTTAAAGAAGTAATTAATATGAAAACTGCAATTTCTGGCATGGTTATGTTTGTAATATCTCTGGTAAAGATTGAAAGAGCTAAAGTGAAGATTGAACGACCTATAGTTCAACGTAGCTATAATTCATATCGAATTTGAAAACCTTCAAGCAGAACCAGCTGTAGTTCAATATAGCTATAGTTTAATCATTTTAAGGATTTTTTTTTACTTTGGCCATAGTTCCTGCATAGTTCCTTCATAGTTCCTGCATAGTTCCTGCATAGTTCCTGCATAGTTCCTGCATAGTTCCTGCATAGTTCCTGCATAGTTCCTGCATAGTTCCTGCATAGTTCCTGCATAGTTCCTGCATAGTTCCTGTATAGTTCCTGCATAGTTCCTGCATAGTTCCTGCATAGTTCCTGCATAGTTCCTGCATAGTTCCTGCATAGTTCCTGCATAGTTCCTGCATAGTTCCTGTATAGTTCCTGCATAGTTCCTGCATAGTTCCTGCATAGTTCCTGCATAGTTCCTGCCTAGATTTTGAAGTTGTGCTTCTGGGGTTTTC